ATTACAGATGATGATGGTGATGATGATGATGGTGATGGTGAGGGTGAGGGTGATGATGATGGTGTTATCCATTCAGTCATATCCGACTCTTGGTGACTCTGTGGGCCAGGTCTCTCCATGTCTTGCAATCTTGGACTACTACTTTGAGTTCTATGCTCTGGTGGGTGTCAGCTTGGATGGTGTTCAGCCAGCATGTTCTTTGGTGGCCTGGTTTCCTTTCCCCACAAACTCTTTGAAACATAATTACTTTCTCCAGTGAATTTCCCTGCATGGCATGGCCAAAATAAATGACACATAGTTTTGTGATTTTTATTACATATACAGGGGAACAACTATTGTCTGTGATCAGGAATCAATTGACCTTTGTGAGGTCATAGCTCTAAGTAATCCAGTGTAGTTTTTTCCTCAATAAAAGGGATGGATAATGTATGATCCACCCAAATGTGGATGAAGTGAATTCCAGTTCCAATGAATTCCAATCAACATAGCCAACGGTGAGGAGATGGAAACCATAGTCTAGCAATATCTGGAAGACTGTAGTTTGCCTACACTTGAGCTACAACTGCTGAGCTGCAGAAATACAGTGATCACTAGATGGCACTAAAGATACAGAACCTTTCCTGCCATCTAGTGGGTTGTTCAGAATTTTGCAGGCTGGATATGATCATTCTAAGTCTACCCCTAGTTTAGAAAACAGACTCAAGATTTCTTAAAAACAACAACAACAATTTTGTCCAAGTAAGATTTTCTAGCCATCTATTGGAGAATACTGAGACTTATTTCCAGTATAACTATGGACATGGTTTATCTAATAAGCACAATATCTTTGTTGAACTTTCTTTAATAGTTGTTGCAAGATTATTGCAATGCTGTTCAAGATCCAGAAGCTACAGCTAGTACAAATGAATGAGCTGCTATGGACACTTCATGTTTCACCCGTGGTGATTGAAAACCCAGGAGAAGAAATGAGGTTTGTAAGGTTCTAACCCATAATTCATTTCAGGATGAAATGTAGCCAGAATACCTTAAGCTACTTCCTTGTCCTGAAAGATATAATTGCTGAAATGAAAGAATTACCCCTACATACTTAATGTAAGTTTTATATACTGTAGATAAATGGAGATAGCTGCCCTTGACTTCTTGGCTTCTAATTTGTGTTTCCAATTGTCATTTGTAGTACTCTGAATAATCTCCCAGTGTTATATTAATACACCAACCCACCTCACAGGACTGTTGTTGTGGGGAAAATAGGAGGAGGAGGGAGAGTACTAGGTATGTCTGTCACCTTGAGTTATTTGTAAAAATAATAAAGGCAGGATATAAATAAATCAAACACTACATTCAACAGTCTTCAGGAACGTGGGAAATTAGCCAAATTATTCTGAATAGTTGGATACATTCTCCAAGAGAATAATATATATTTATTTGGTTTTTAAGTCTGTCAGACCTTAAAAGACTGTGGGATATGTAATATTTCAAATACTTAATTTAAAAACAGTTAAAAAGATGAGCACCTGGAAAACAATAATCGCAGTAAGAATAAAAAGACTCACTGGGGACTCCACAAATACCTTGGAAACAGAGCCAGATATTAAGGGACTTCAGAACACATGGAGAGAGAGAGAGAGAGAGAGAGAGAGAGAGAGAGAGAGAGAGAGAGAGAGAGAGAGAGAGAGAGAGAGAGAGAGAGAGAGAGCAGTGAGGCCAAAACAACTGGAGATAATCAGTCCCTCAAACATCAGGCTTCATGCCACAAAGGGCCTTATAGACCGATATCTGAATTGCACCTGGAAGCCACCTGGCAACCAAGGCAGTTCATGCAGCAGTGATGACACATGGGAAAAATGGTGAAACGATTGTTAGTGCCCTTACCACTGCAGTTTGTACTCCAGAATTATTAACTTTCATCATTACCTCATTCACTGCCACAATACTTTGTTCCTCTTATTAAACAAAGATAGCCTACAGCAGGGGTGTCAAACTCGCAATGTCACGTGACATGTCACGACGTATTGCGACTTTTTTGCCATTGCCGGCAATGGGGTGGGCGCGGTTTCGCTATGATGCATCCAGCCCATGGGCTGGCAGTTTGACACCCCTGGCCTAAGAGATTTGTCCTTTTTATTTACAATTGTACCCCAAATAAAGACAGGACTTTTATGAGAAATGGGGATGAACAGCTGGGAAGAACAGAAGAAATTTTGAACAAACTAAAAATAGAAGCAATTCTGAAATATAGCTTGCAACTAGTAGTTGATTTCTAGATTGAAGATGCTGATGTCAACAGAAGGTAATCTATTTTAGATGAAACTGGTCAGAAAATAGTCATTACATGTACTTAACTGTTCTCAAAGTAGTTTAGAGCCATTCTAATAGCAAAATTATATTGTATCACACAGTTAAAATTTTCTACGGAAAAAAACCCTCTTTATGAAAGGATGTGTTACTTGATACAGTGGTGATAATGACATGCCGTTGGGAGCTCAGAGTAAGATAAACTCTTTTTCCATTAGTCATGCATCTTCTCCAATCTCATGGATGTAGAGAATTTATGTCAGACAGTGGATAATTACACATTGAAAATTTTTAGTTAGGGCAACCTGTTTGCCAATTCTGGGAGACACAAATATATAACACCATCCTCAAATTGTCCCTAGCCAGGTGTAAAGGCAATCTTTCCCTGCCTTTTTTTGCTTCACAGCAAAAAGTTCTATTATCCAGCTTCTAATGGCACAAGAATTAGAATTGGAAGACAATGCTCATTCAGTTCATTGTAGGTGGTATCTCTGCTATCATTGCTTAGTTTATGTTGCAGTTCCATGCCTAAATCCTCCACAATCATTTTATCCTAGTCTAATGGACTAGCGAAACAACGAACCTTTTCCTTGTGTGCTAAAAACTTATTTTTTTTGTTTATTTTTTCCTTAAATCAGTCCTACAGAAATTGCTTAAAAGCAGTGAAATGGTGGATGGACAGAAGGCTGCAAAGTGATGATTTGGGGGTAATGGTGAAAAGACTGCAAGAAAGAGAAGAGGAACGGATGTACGGTATGTATATCAGAACAACAAGGAGGTGAGCAAACTCCAAACCTCTTCCTGGCAATCTTAATGAAAAAGTGACAGCAGCAGCAGCAGAAGCAACAATAACAACAAAGTTTTTCCCTTCTGCCAGTGCAGACAAATCTCCCAGTTCTCTCGGACTAAAATCTAATAAAGTTTTTGTTGTGTTGGAATTCTTCTAATGGGTCTTGTAAAGCCAGGACCTGGCATAAGGTATCTCTTCAGACTGGACACAAGAACTGTTGTGAAACTGACAAGAATTAGTTTCCCCTCCTAGCTCAAATCCTACCAGGAATAGTGAAATTGTAAAACAATGAGGTGTGCTCCCCTCATCCAGAGGTGGACTGGTGATGTGTTTGCCATAAGCAGGCAAGTTCTGCACTGAGTATTGGACTGTATGGCTTTTAAATTCCTAACAGTACAATTCTATGACAGTTAGACATTGTTTGCTCCTGCAAAGGGAAACTACACATCTTCAAAGATACATCCAGATAAGAAAAACGATTCATGCCTGTTTCTCTGGCAGAAGAGGGGGAACCAGGCTTTGGTAACAATGCTGGCTGTGTGTTCTTCCTGATGTGTGCTAATATTAATGAATTAATGAATTCCCCAACTTTTATGGCCAGCATTGTTACCAAAGCTTGAAATCTGGACAGTGATTTCTTAAGCCAGTTTCATTCATACTGGAGGTGGTGTTAGCACAGGAGACAAGCAGTTTAAAGCTATTGTGCAAAATTATCCTTATCCTTCTCTCTCAACCAGCATGAATGGAGACAACAATACTGATGTTTCTGGCAAAGTTGTTGCACTCTTGATAGCATTATGCAAATACAATACATGATTATCCTTACTGAAAAATAGTGTAGCTACCAAGCCACTTCTCCCAGTTCCTGATTATTAGAACTAATGAGCATCCCAGTGAGATTGCCATTAATCTTCACCTTTCCATGTGCAAGTTGCGTGTCTGGTTGATAATGGGAAGAGGTTAAACTCTCATGTCATGGATGAGCTCCATTGGCTTATTTTTTTTTGGGGGGGGGATTACTGAAGTAGGGAAATGGACCACATACTTTCAGGAGCTTCATTTGCTTCGGATTGTTTGCATTTTAGCAGAGGATAGGGACATCTGCATTCTTTCAGGGATCATTTCAGCACCAATAGGAGCTTATTTATTGAATGGGCCAAACTTTATCTAACACCCCATCCACTGCAGGTAAGGTGCCCTCGTCTTATTGAATTCTCTGCCCGAAGCATCTGGAGCCTCCTGGCCAGCGCCTGTTGCCCCGCGAGGCTCCTTCAACTTTGCCTTGGCTTTTGAAGAAGGAAACTGCGGGAGAACTGAAGATAATTATTCCAAGGATGCTTAGAAAGAGAGAGGAACCTGTGTGGGAAGATCGGGCCAGAAGAAGCTCTCTCTCTCTCTCTCTCTCTCTCTCTCTCTCTCTCTCTCTCTCTCTCTCTCTCTCTCTCTCTCTCTCTCTCTCTCTCTCTCTCTCTCTCTCTTCCTCTCCCTCTCCCTCTCTCCCTCTCTCTCTCTCTCTTCCTCTCCCTCTCCCTCTCCCTCTCTCTCTCCCCTCCCTCCCTCCCTCCCTCTCTTTCCAATGTATGGAAGGTCAAGTTAATAGAAGCGGGCAGGTAAGGGATGGTTGGGCGGTGAGAAAGTTGCTTGCCCCGGAGGGAAGCAGTTAGCCTTGCCGGGCCCCGCCCCTTGCCAGCGCCGATTGGGAAAGTGGCCGGGCTCTCTCCCAAGCTCAGATTCTCCCGCCTTTTCCAACTCGCCTTTCCCCTCCCTCCCCATTTGTCCTCTCAACTTCCTCATTGGCAGCCTTGGGCCGAGGGAAGGATGACGCACTCGCTCCCCGAGGGACGTGGGGTATAAACGCCCGACGGGCACGCAGCGCCGGTGCAAGTGGAGCGCTGCCATCCGGTGTACCCGGAAGATGCCGCGGGGGTTCCTGGTGAAACGGAGCAGGAGGCCGGGGGGCTCCTATAGGATGCGCCCCGCAGGCGGACCCTCAGCGCTCCGCCTGGAAGAAGCGCCCCGCCTCGCGACGCCTTTGCCAGAGGCGCCGCCACAGCCCCAGCAGCTGCCTCAGCCCAACTCCCCAGTGATGGTGATCTGGGACGCCGGAGGCTCGGACAGCGTAGTCTCCGCCGCAGACGAGCCCAGGCGCTACGCTCCTTCTTCCGTATCGGCCGAATCCTCTCCTCTGGGCCCCGCCTTGGCGCTGGCAGAAAAGCTGCCCCTGATTCCGCGCACTCCGGTGCCTTTGCCGGCGCCGCTCCCCTTGCCGGCTGCCTCGCTTTGCCCGGCTATCCCGCTCAAGCGCCCCTCCCGAGCGAAGGCGCCGCCGGCCAAGAAGCCCAAGGCCGTGCGCAAGCTGAGCTTTGCCGACGAGGTGACCACATCGCCCGTGTTGGGGTTGCGGATCAAAACGGCTTCCGAGGCCGGCGGCGAAGGGATCCGCGTGGCTCGTCCGACGCTGCTCGGCGAATTTGTCTGCCAGCTGTGCAAGGAGCCCTACGCCGACCCCTTGGCTCTGGCTCAGCATCGTTGCTCCCGAATTGTGCGCGTCGAATACCGCTGCCCGGAGTGTCACAAAATCTTCAGCTGCCCGGCCAACCTGGCTTCGCACCGCCGGTGGCACAAGCCGCGCCCGACCACCTCGGCCGGTCCCACCCGGGACAAAGAAAACAGTCGCGGGGAGGCCGGCCGCGATCAGCACCACGGCTCGGCGGACAGCTCCTGCTGCCGGGACCAGCCGGCTCCTCGTGCCTCCCAGCTGGGTCCGGGCAGCGAAGCTACCGCCGCAGCCGCCTCAACTCCTGGCTCCAGTTTGGTAGCTCCTCCCGGCGAGGTCTACTTTTGCCCTTATTGCCACAAGTCTTTCCGGCGCCAGGCATACCTGCGCAAACACCTGGGCACCCACCAGGCTGGCATTGCCAGCTTTGCCAGCAACTCACCGTCTCACCCACTCCCGCAACAGATCGCTTTTTCCTGTCATTTGTGCGGGGCGCATTTCCCGTCGGCGGACATCCGAGACAAGCATCGGGTATGGCACACGGTGCGTGAGGAATTGCTTCTGCCCCTGGGGCAGCCCGAGGGCAGCGCTAACCACGGCGAGCAGCAGATCTTTTCCTGCAAACACTGTCCCTCGACTTTCTTCAGCTCGCCTGGTCTTACCCGACACATCAACAAGTGCCACCCTTCGGAGAACAGGCAGGTGCTTCTGTTGCAGATGTCCGTCAGGCCGGGCTGCTAGGCTCGTCCGGCAACGAGTTGATTCTTCTCTCCGGACTGAACTGTAAAATTGCACACATGAGGGCTAAACATTTGCCTGACTGTACAGAGCAGGTGCTCGGACTATTCTCCCATTATCTGAAACTGCATTATCCCTTTTGTCCCTAAGCCTTGTTTTTTTTTTCCCCTTTGGTGACCCCAAATAATCCTCTCCAAAGTATAATTCCAATGGAAAATCATAACCAAAAGGTATCACCATATTTTGTGTCCAATATTTTTTAGTACAAAAAGCCCGTTATTCTTGACATTTTTTCCTTGCTGCCTTATAATGGGATAAGAGTGCACTGTAGATTCTGTGAAATACTGAACTCTTAACTGTTTTCATACTGAACTCTTTACCATTTAGAAGCTCACCTTCTGCTTTAGGACTAAAAACATGGCATTATACTGGGAGGAAACATACTTTTCTGGCTGTGCTTAATACTGTAGCTAAACCTAGAACCAACTGTGTGCCTACCTGTGAGTAAGTCATCTGGGGAAAGTGGGACTGTGAATATTTAATTCTGCTTACTCTTGTCCCTAGGATCTTAAGTACATTCCAACACTGTTTAATTAAAGCTTAATTGGGAAGGAGAAGTAGTCAGATTTATATATTCAATTAGGGGAATTTGCCTCCCCAGTTTTCAAGTTTAAAAAATTAGTTTTTGTAATTGTTTTGTTCATTGTGTTCTGTAATATAACAATATATTGTCAGTTATTCATAGCAGGTCAATGTCTGTTACAAAATGCTCCTTCTGTCTGCTGTTGCTCATTACTGGTAATTAAAATCAGCATTAATTTTTGTTTGCTTCCTGAGTATATTGCATACGTTTTCAAGCTCACTAAACTATAGATGATAAAAGGAAACACACACACACACAGGAGGGCTGCTTTAAGATTTTGATTCTTGGGTCAAAATTTTGGACAATAACTATAATAAGCACAAGAGGTTGTTAGCTTTTTAAAGTTCACTGCTCTCCACCGTCCATGGAAAGTGCTTTTGTAAAATTATAACCTCTAGCTCTTTCTCCTGGGCTCTTAATTAGAAACTAAATCATTGGAAAATGTCCAGTTGGATAAATAAATAATATGAATGAAAATTATTTAGAAGATCATTTAGGGATCAGCCTTTGAAAAATCAAAAGCAACTTTGAACTGGACTTCTAGCTAAAACTCTTCCTTTGCTTCCAGGTTTCAGTTTGTTTGAAAAAATATTTGGAAACTAAGCTAGCAGAACGTTGTCCAACTTCACCAATATAGTTTTCTAAAGATCTAAAATTTTCTCTAATTTGGGTTTTACTGTAGTTTTTACGCAATAATGTATTAATATTTTAGCTATGCTGGTCAACAGGTATGGTCAATGAAATGTTCCATATGGCAAAATACAACTTTTTCACTCTAACTTCATGTACTTGAGATCTGAAAACTTTAAAAATGCAACATACTACATACACAATAATTTCAATATACAGTTTGCTTAAAACAGTAGACAATGATTTTAGCTTAAAATACTAAAAACCTCTTTCTAAACGGGAAAATATGGAAGCATTAATGCTCTATGTTGTGACTTTATAAATACTGTTTTAAGCAGAATATGTGTTACATGAAGCAAAACCATTAGAAAATTACATTTGGAACAAGAGAATGCAATGAAAAACTGATCAAAAAGATTTTGCATTTGAATAACTAAATCATCATTCCGTGCCATTCTTTTCATGATATTTGTGCCCCCAAAAAGGTTTGCATAAATAAGTTTTCGTAATGAAATACAAAACACCCGAAGTGGTAAGAATAATTTTATTGTATTATTAAATAGCATGTCTTTTCTTCAACCATTACAAATTTGTATATACTACATGGTAAACAAATACATCAATATATATTTCTATAGTTGCCCAAGCGAGGAACATATATTTACACATGCAGTTAGTACCAGTGGCATGCTACATTTTGTTAAAGCAGAATATGGCAAACAACACAGTTGAATTTCTTCATTATGAAAATATTTCTGAGTAGTAGTGACAAATTGGAGTGGAATGTACTTGTGTGTATATTTGCTATTATGAGGGCACAGCCTCCCCCCACCCCCATGACATTACTTGATTGAAAGCAAATGACTGGAGTGGCAAAGTGCTTAAAAATAGGTGATTGTACACATGTATACTTATAGAGGTATACCAAGGGATGATCTCAATTTCTGGAAGAGACAGATTGTGACAATAGGGCCAAGAGAAAAGCAAATGTTTAGCAAGAAAGTTGGAAGCTGTTGATACTTAACAGTAAATGCTTGCTGTTAAGTCTGTCCAACAGTGAATAAGAATAATGGAGCTGAGGATGAGTCTCTGTTAACTTGGTTTTTTCTTATAATATAATAACTCTGTACATAATTCTGTGAATTCTGGTGATATTAGCAGAGAACTCTGGACATACATCTTAGTTTGAAAAGTATACATGCATCCCTTTGAAGATGACATCTTTATTGTTTTGAAAGGGTTATACAATAAATAAGAGTGGAACATGCCTGCAGTTTCCAGCTTCAGGGGTGGCTAGTAGTTAATCACAGATGTTAAAAGAGTCTTAGTTTCCTCTCACAAGGAAAAGTATAAAAAAAAAAACAGTGAAGGAAGTACTCTGCATTGATAAACTATGATTAGCAGGAAGCTGAATATTCTAACGCAAAAGCTAAAATATTTTCATTTTGAAATAAAATTCCATGTTTTTTTAAAAAAAATAAAAATAAGAGCAGAGGAATGAAGGAACAATATTCAGCATAGAGGAGAGATTTATATCTTGATAAAAGAGGCTGAAAGCTTAACCCCTCGCTAAGTCTTGTAGGCTGAGCCAGAGGATCGCCGCAGTTTCATGGACATACGACTCTTGCTAGTCCGTGGAGAAATGGGGAAAGCTAGATCGGACCTGTCCATCTGCGCTGCTGCTGGAACTTCGGACGCCTGAGTCTCTGGGTAGGGCCCTATAGAAAACAGAAGGACCTCACATATTAAAGCAATCTGATTACAGAAGATTTGCAAGGTGCAAGCCCCAAAACAGTATCCTCTCTTTTGATCTGTCCTATCAACAGCAACTCATCTGCCAGAATCATTAACAAAGTCATCTATTTTAGATTATGAATGACTGGTGGACAGTTTCAAACAAACTAACTAATAAGAAAGGACTAGGAAGTTATTAAAAAGCTAGGATGGCATCTAATTGGTGTTACACATACAATATATATTCTTATAGGATTCAATGGGAAAGAAGTATGAATAAATCATGCTAGCTGAATATACTACATGGCTCATTATCTTTGTAAAAGGAACAAGATAATTCTGACAGGACTTGGTAGTATTGTTGACCCAAAGCAGAATAATTTCCCTTGGAACGGCCCCGAGACAAATAGCAGAAGCAATAGGTTAGGTTAATATGGTTATTGCAAAAGCCAAAATTCGGAGGCATGCAAAACAGGCCAGATTGTATGGACAGTACACATTTATTCCTACAAGTTACAGGTAAGGTTCCATTTGCCAAAAAAGAAAGACATTTCTTTCTTTATTTTGCCTTTTAAAATAAGCTGTAGATCAAAACAGATCATGCAGATCATGTCTGCATTCACTCACAAAGACATTTATTTTTTAGAGAAATTAGATGACATGACTGATATTAGCAGCTCAAGGTACCAGTTGGCTACTACATGCACACTGCCCTAAATTTGGATCTTGCTATTTATAATTTGGGTTTTGTAATTTCTACATTTTCCTACTGTAAATGTGAAAAACTTTCTTTTTGAAAAACGATAAAATATGACTTTCTTCAACGAATTCAAATTATTCATAATATTTTTCTGATTATCAGCTTTCATTAACAGAATACTAGGTTATGTTGCACTTAGTAAATGCTCAGAAACAAAATTCTTATTACAAAACAGAACTTGGCCATAAAGCCAGTTTTTTACAATCTTACATATGTCCATTACACATAGGTGTAGTCAAAGATGGTACCAAAATCCTACTGGAACCAATGGACCAAATATTTTAGTGATCTTCCACCATTAAGCATTCAGCTTTATGTTTATATTCTATTCAGTTTAAAATAAAAGTATTTTTCTCCAAGAATAATAACGTAGCAAAATAATTCAAGAACTATTTGGACCAAATTATAAATAACACAAAATGAAAGGAAACCATTTGCAAGTGGGAAAAACTTTTATTAATATGAAAAATATCAGAACTGGGGGAGTCTGGTGCTGCATTTGGTGCTGCAAAGAGTATTCTAATATTCTAATATTTCTATGGATGACATTTGACAATTATATTAAATCTCAAAGTTATATTATAATTTAATGAACAGATTCTTTTGAAAAACACTAAACACCCTTAAAATGATTATTTAGTGTTTCTAGTTTACAAAATACATGTGTATGAAATCACTTTAATAAAATATTTTTGATAATCTCAAGGGTATTTTCTCCCTTCCTCCCTTCCCTTCCTAATAAACCTGAAGGCACATTTTTTGCTTTCATTCTGAAACACTGCTGCAAAGTGATCCCTGAAAGCCATGTTGACTAAGTCACAAAAGTAACTGCTTTTAAAACCAGAATGTCATAAATCTAACCTACTAACTCCAATGCTATACAATTAGTCCTCGACTTACGACCACAATTGAGTCCAAAATTTCTGTTGTTAAGTGAGACATTTGTTAAGTGAGTTTTGCCCCATTTTACGACATTTCTTGTCATAGTTGTTAAGTGAATCACTGCAATTGTTAAGTTAGTAACCTGGTTGTTAACTTGTTCTGGCTTCCCCATTGACTTTGCTTGTCAGAAGATCGCAAAAGGTGATTACGTGACCCTGGGACACAGCAACTGTCATAAATATGAACCAGCTGCCAATATCTGAATTTTGATCATGTGATCACGAGGAAAGGCTGCAAAGGCCATAACTGTGAAAAAGGTCATAAGCAACTTTTTTCAGTACCATTGCAACTTTGAACAGTCACTGAATGAACTGTTGTAAATCAAGGACTACCTATAGTTTGTGCTTTCCAAGTACTTCCTGAAATAGCTTTTCTCCTTTTTTCTGTATATGGATACACAGATTGATCAATTAATCAAATAATAGATAGGTAGATATAAGCTATTTTTTGGTCTAGAAATGATCCCACATGTAACTTAACTTTTACATTCCAAAACAGTTTACTCTCTTGTATTCTTACCAACAGTGTTTAGTTTGATGGTTAGAAGGCTAGCTCCTAAGCCATTTGGCATGGGAAATTTATAATGGGAGGATTGCTCTTACAAATATTTTAGTCCCTCAACCTCTTCTCCTTAGGAAAAAGACTAGTATCTTTACATATAAAGACCACTATCTTGAACTGTGTTTGGAAACAAGCTGGTAGCCAATACAACTTACAAGAAACTGTTAACATAATAAACAAGGAATGTGTGTCAAAAAGCAAGTTAATGCAGCAGTTTCCAAATACCTTTCAAGGGCATCCATAAAAAACGCAGTTCATGATTTTCAACTGATTAGGCATGGAGTATATAAATCCACAGTAAAAGAAAATTTGTTATGCCTTAGAAGGCTTCTTCCACCTAGGAGAACAGTTTTTTGTTTGTTTATTTAAATTCATCCCCACCTGCCCAGCACACATCAATATTCAGACATTCTATCTTGTTCGTATTTTACAAGGAATCATGGCATTCCAAATGGTAGGGTAGTGCATAAAAAGTCAATGCTGGTTGGTGCTCTGCACAGTCTACCCTTCACGGCTAGTGTGAATAGACCTTCCAGTTCAAGCCTTTGCCCTTTACCTTGAAGTGGCCAATTCTTTCTAGAGGTGGCTTGGGAAGGAGAAGAAATATCACACCATTTCTTTCTTTGTTGAGAATGAAGAAGTGATGGAGAGGTGGACAGAAGTAAGGAAAAAGGAAGAAAGATAAAAAGATAACAGGTGTGAGACATGAGACATGAACAGTAGAGGCTGGAGGGCATTTACAGATGAGTACAGAAAGGAGAAAGTTAGAATCTGTTATGTTGCTAACATGCAAGCTAAGGTTAAAGAGGGATGCATTAATGTGTAAAAAATGAATCAACAGTTTAACAATCAGGAAGAATACTCACCAGCTACAGGTTACAAAAAAAAAAGAAAAAGAAAAAAAAGAACAGAAAAAAGAAAAAGAATTCTATAAAAATAATTCTGATCCAACAGCCTCATTGATACAACCATTATGACATAAATATGTTAATAGTGTTTTAGAAATTGCTTATAAATAAAAAAATACCCTGCAATCAGTAAAACAATCAAATGTTAACACCCCTCCCTAATAGCAATTTTTCAGCTCACATGAAAAATAAATTTCTCTCTATAATTCTGCTAAGTGTAGTTTTAACACATACTTACTGAAAAACATTTGATATTAAAAATCACCAACTTGCAAAAGGAAGTATATATGGTTATGATACATTTTATATTTCTAAATAATTCAAAACTGATAACACTTATAGCTTTTATGAAAATAGAAGCCAGGTAAACCTATAGTATACATGTAGTACAATCCATTTATTTTTTATAAGACTTCCCCTTTTTGATCATTCTTCATATCTATCTAACTTGAAGGTAGTTGAAAAAGAACTAGAAATGCAGCAATTTATGTTGAGTATGTTCCAACAATCCAAATCAATATTTCCTATATCATAAAATGTTTTTATTGTGTCCCTTGAGGTGGCTAGAAGCTAAGATCTGAAACAACATAGACTGAGAATTCAAACATAGTAACATACAGCAAATTAATAAGGAGCTTTGGTCTCAGATTTCATCTGCTCTGTTTTACCCAATAGTTGTCAATTCAGAAAAAAATTAGACTCATGGAAGATTAATTTTGTTTATGGTTACATCAGCAAGATTATTATATGCATAAAGATGGAAGAATACTGAAATTCCCACAATGGAGGGAAACGGTCAGAATTAGCAGAAACTGACCTGTTTGGTCAGAGGAAAAAAGAAGTGGGGTTTTTTTTAAAGTGGGTTTTTTGGAAAGCTTTTATGGACTTTTTTTTGCTAACAGAAGGGTGGAATGAACATTTACAGATTTAAAGACAAGAAAAGATGAGAATTTAATATAGGGTTGAAGGAATTTCTGGAAGAGATGATGGGTTTGTCAATATCTGTTGAAGAGAAAGTTGGAAATCATTATTTTTCTTTTTTTTAAACAATATTTTTATTAAAGGTTTTGAATACAAACTAAAAAGAAAAAGAATAAAAGTTTTGCAAGAAAGCAAAAAGAAAAAAAACAGAAAAAAACTTGAGATAGCAACTTCCTTCCCTCGTCACAACAAATATGACAGTGGAAATCCAATACAAGTCTTTTCCAGTCCAGATGTCAGCAAGTTCAAAAAGAACCCCAAATAATAACATATCCCATTTTAACAATGCTCAAATAAACCAACTTTATGTTCCTTCTTTTTACATAAAACAATCTTGCTCTTTAATCCATTCAAATGATCTCGTCTTAAATTTCTTAAAAATAAGCCTCATTTTAAAGTTAGAAGTCATAAATTTTCATAACTTTAGTTTTCTTTCTTTTTCCCCCTTTTCTGGTATTCTTTTCTTTCTTCTTCCTTTCCTATCTTTTTCTTTGGATTTTTATGTTTTATATAAAATTCTCAATAAGTATATATATAAAAAAACCTCAGAAATAAATTTCACTAGATTCAGACATAAGCTTAGCTGAATTCCACTGCCAAAGGAGAAAAAGGGGCAAGACATGTTTCTTCATTTGGATATTCTGTCCAAAGCATCATCATCTATCATCATCTAAAGGGTGAAATATTGTCCAGAACAGCATGGAAAGTGATACTAGGGGATTAAATAAACAATACAATATTTTGTTCTTCTTTCTCCAGAACCAGTGAATTCCATCTGATCCTAGCTCACTTCAGAAATAAATAAACAAACAAAAATTTCAGGTCAATGAACAGCAAAGCTAGATGTAAATAATTTACTGTAAGAATATATTGGAATCCAGTGTAAAAGGCACTTTGGGAGCAAAGGGGAAAGTCTTTTTTTTTTAAACATTTGATTTAAAGATGCTTTCCTCCTGCCCACCCTTTCTTGCATACTGTCTTTTCTGTATCTCATTTAGCAGCTAGGGTAGATTGTTCCTGATAGAGTTAATTAATCAGAATTAATTGTGCAAAGGACTTCTAAGGCCTTTGGTCTTGGTCTAAGGTGATCTAAGGCCTACCTTAAGCCAGCAATATTCTGTTTTTATCAATATATATACTGCATATTATTTGGGTAAAATCTTTGAAAATTAGTTGGTAAATGCTAACTTGTAAAATATTAATTCTTTAAAAATTATTCTATTTCTTCTAATAAACTTTTTGTGGTGAGGACAACAGACTTGGAATTCTGCATTTTGGAGACTCATTACAAGTTATATTGAAGAAGTACTTCAATTACACATTGTACAATAATACATTGTAGCAGCTCAGCAGCGTGCTGTTTTTCGTTTAAAAAGGGCACGTCTGTTTTAAGGAATTCACTCATTAAAGTTCATATTTCTTAAAGAACACTGACTTTTTTCCAGACTGATATAAAAGTGTGACGAAGGTCAGATTGTTTTAATGACTAGTAGAGAGGGGCTTCAAGCACTTTTTCTACATCACTTTTACTGTATGCAGACCTCTAATTTAAATACTCTCTCTGACATTCCTACGTTTCTTGATTAATGGTAATAATAGAATTCATCAACAAATTATACAACTGCCTTGAAATACAGAATCTTGCTGATAGATGAAGTATCTATTTTTTTTAGATCTAAATTAGATATTTAGATATTTGGAAAATATCTAACCTTTTCCCTAAAATATCTACAATTAACATAAAAGTTAATATCCGTGTCTTACTGCAGGCATGGGAGGAGTAACTCTTCATAAATGAATCAGCCTTCACAATCTCGCATTTGCGACCGCCAGAATTTTTAGTCAACAAATCTTAGGGCCATCACATCTTGTGGGACTTGCCTGGGGAAGGCTGTACAAATTTTATACTGAAAAGGTACAAAACCTTTTGGATTGCCTATGTTAGCATAGCATTTTATTTTGGGAAGTTTGGAAGGCCTTTGCACACATAAAAATAGAGCTTTGCTAAAATGTTCTCTTCCTCTAATCAAATTACTTTTGGCTTATTAGTTTAATTTATTCAACAGGTAACTGGCAAATGATACAGAAGATACACCTAAACATATTATAGGCTGAAAAGACCCAAGGCTGTTTTTGTATTCCTTTCTAAATATACAATTAGAATCGTTTCACATTCTCTGGGGACTCTTACTAACATTATTTATGCATGCAAACAATTTCATCAAAATGGAAAGTTAGCACTGGTAGCAATGTAGAAATAATTCAGGAGGCATTATGCTTTATCTGGAAGTTTCATTACAAGAGATAGATTTATTATAAGAGATAGATAAGCTGCAATCCTCTGCACACTGGCCTAAGAATAAGTTATATTAAATACAGTGAGATTCGTTCTGGTAGATGTACTAAGGATGACATTGTTTATCTTAACTTTTGAGGTGGCTACTATAAACCACTAATCTCTCTTCTTTAATATGGGGAATGTATATGATAAACCACTAGTTGGTTAAACTTGCTACAAAAGGTCATAAATTTGATATTACTTGAATTTCTGAATCAATTTTAAATCAGTTTAATAGTTGAGTATTGAGTTACAAGAACCTTGTTGCGACTGTCTGAATATTCTATCATGAAAAAGCTAAAAGATCTCCTTCAAATTGAGGCTGATTCCTGGTGGGCTACATGGACAGGTACATGTAGTGTAATTGGCAAAGAAGATTGGTTTATCATTACTGTCTTGGGGCCCCCTTCCAAGAAAATGTTTCCTCACATTTTTTTTAGGGTTTATTTTCATAAACTCATCTTTACAAAGCCAAGTAGAAGATCTGTCACCAAACAAATTTTCTTTTCCTGTAACTTTCATTCCCATCCCACAAGGAGCCTTTCTAGAGAGCTCAGGAGAGGATTCTTTAATACTGTGGTGCATGTCTTATGGAGAATCTCCTGAAATTGAGCAAACAAATCTTTTTCTGATACTGCAAGACTCTCAGTTATGTTAACTTCTTCCTTTCAATACAGCTGTTTGAGTATGTCTTACCATTCTCTAGAGAAGTTTTCAAAGAATAAACAGGAATGCAAGGATTAGAGGAACAGAATAGAAAGCTTTTGGAACGTATTTCCACCAGTTTATGGTCACAGATCCTGAAAATTATAGTCCAAAGCATCCTAGAGATTTATGTGCTCATCTTAGTGTCAACACTGCTAACATCGGATGTTCTTGCTTTGACAACAGATGGAAATGTAGCCATCTTTTATCTATTGCTTTTAGAGTTTGTTGATGCTGGGAGGGGGAATGTGGATGAGAGTCCAGCTAGTCATAACAATAATAACTCAGCTGTGGGAACCCAAGGTTATTAGGTCCAGGGTTGATAGAAATTTGGTGGGCAGGAGAGATGGGGAGAAAGCCTGCGCTTCAAGTTAATTGGGGAATGTGATTTATGACTGTTAATTGGAGGAGGGAACTGCGCTTTGCTACTTTATAATAATAATAATAAAGTTGGAAGGGACCTTGGAGGTCATCTAGTCCAACCCCCTGCTCAGGCAGGAAACCCTATATACCATTTCGGACAAATGGCTGTCTAGTCTCTTCTTAAAAACTTCCAGTGTTGGAGCATTCATCGCTTCTAGAGGCAGGTTGTTCCACTGGTTAATTGTTCTAACTGTCAGGAAGTTTCTCCTTAGTTCTAGGTTGCTTCTCTCGTTGATTAGTTTCCATCCGTTTGCGCCAGGGGAGGGGAATTCAGTTTTTGGCTTTAACTACGTAGTGCCGATACTTTGTTTCTTGAATAAAAGATTCTTTAAGGGATTACAATGCCTTGAAGTTCTTTTGAAGAGATTTATTTGTCGGAACCATGACTCTTAGAATGTAATGCAGTTTGGAATTTCCTTTACTCCTTTCTTCATTATCAATGAATAAACACAGCATGAATGTATCCACCTGGAGAAGATACATGCGCACAAATCCTCCATGAATTAGTACTTTTTTCAGTCCACTACAAGGTCTCAGATATGGTTGAGAGCCTGATCATCACACATTCTGAGACTGAAAGGTTTATCCATCACTATAGTCGCAAACATGCACACATTATTAATTTAATGGGAAATTGTTCCTGGCCTCACTGAGATTAGTGTTTATGTGCAGTTGGTTGGTTACTGTGAAAACAGATTGCTGGACTAGAAGGATGGGACAGGGTTCTGATCCAGCAGGGTACAGTTTATGTTCTGGCTTTCAGCATGTTTTTCATTCCAACTTAGACTATTAGTGTTAACTCATAAAATTTTTCACAATATTTGAAAGAGTGCTTCTTCCAATGCATTATCTTAAGCTCTGCCATAATCAGAGGACTTGAACCAAATTCCTTCAGATGATAAGGTAGCTCAGTACTCAAGAGTAGGTCTTTTTAATGAAGACTGTCTAGCCTTGGAATTCTCCGGGAAACAGCTTTTTCTAAAATGTCTGCTTGGAATCTACTCCATTGCTTTTTATGCCTGACAATACTTGTTTATTCTGTCAGGGCATTTATTCATTTATTGTGTCTGTATACAATGTGTTAATGAATTTTATCTTTTACAAACCTTTCTAATTCATTTTAAATAACTGCTTTAATTGATTGTGTTCTACCGTTACTATTTTTCCCAGAATTCTGATGTTTTAGAACACATCACTCTTTCAGCATCATGGGAATTAATTTTTTAAAGAAACAAATTAAGCCATGAATTTACTCTGCCAGTTATGGGTTTAGACATGCTTAAAGTGCTTCCACCAAAATCAATAGGGCTTACATTAGTCATTCCAAACATTTACTTGTTGCTTCTAACATACATTTTATTGAATGGTAGGCAAACCTTCAGTAAGAATATTTCACATTCAGTATAAATAAATGAGCTCTTGGAGAACATAATGGTCATGGGATCAGGTACCAAAATAATTTTTAAATTTATTTATGGCTGACTGTTAAGCTTTGGAACTACATATTGGAGGTGGATTCTGAATTGGGGATGGGGCAAAATTAGAGCTACATGCCCATTTTGTTTGAATTAATCAGAATCCTGATCTTCTTTGGGTTCAGATTCAGTTGGAGCATCACTGATATTTACACGTATATAAAATGTTTTACCACAAGAAGAATGTTTGCTTTGTGCTTTAGACATGTTAGGACAGAAAAATAAGTCTAGGTCTATAAATTATTTCCATGCAAAAAGTACATTATTCAATTCCTGTAATCACTATTCTTGCATAGTAAGACATTTTATACAATAAAGTTTAACATTAGATATCATAATTACTGACCAGAGCATAAGCAAAGTGTTTATTTTAAGAAGTTATTTCCCAACTTAAAAAAATTCTCTTTCTTTACCTTTTTTGACTTATATTTATTTATAAAATTATTCTTATTTTTCATTCAGATGTTTATTATACTCAGACTTTGCATTTATTGTTCAATTTTCACTTTATTGTTCACTATTTCTTATTCACTTTTCCTTTAAAACCCATCAGTACCAGAATATATAAAGTATTGCTTTGAGTGTTCATACTCATATTTCATATATTTTTCATTATCTTTAAATTGTATATAAAAAATCCAAATATAGTTTCAAAGCTTCTGTTTCACTAATGACCAAATTTCCATTTATCATTTTCAGAAAAAAAAAAACCCTGAGATTTTTCTCTATTGCAAGTAGGTGATGATATTAACACTAGTAATGTTTTCAAAATCACTTTTCTCTATCATTCCTTGTTACATTGAATTCATAATCTATCTGCTGACATCAAAGAAAGACAGGACAGGGGACAGATCACACCACTGCCATCCAGTACTATTTGTTCATGCTGAGAAACAAAAGGTCAGACACAATCAAGTATGACTTGCTCAACAGATGTTTCTCCATTAGTTACCTTAATCCCAGAACCACAGTGTTAGTGTTTCATGCAAACCTGGAGTTAGTAAAATACTAAACTTGAATAAAATGTAGTGGTAATTTCTCAGTGTGAATTTCTCTCTTGTTTAATAGTAAAAATAAGGGCAGTCAGGAAAGTTTGCATACAACAAGGTTACAAGCTTAGTGCTTTAGTAACAGATTAATAAAACAGAGGGGTTTTTTTTAGACACTTTGTCTTACCTTCTGATAAACTGAACTGATATTTAATGATCTAAAGAGGGGAAATAAGGAAATAATCATCAGGAATTCAAATTATTTGTACAGATAGGCCTTGAGAGCAGCTCATATTCTTAAGTGATTACTGTTTCATTAGTAACTGAAAATGCAGTATCTTTATAGAAGATTTATTGGTGAAAATGACAATGTAGCAACATATTTTAATAGGATAACAGTGGTGATATTGTTTCTGGTTTACCGACCAAGACTAGAAATGATTCTTTCTTAAAACAATGAAAATCAATTAGGCTTATGGATCAGTCTCTATATTTAGGAATCTTAAGTATTCAGAAACATTCACAAATAATATAAATACGAAAAGTTCTATTATAGAGTATAAAGTGAAAAGTTTTAAATGGCTTTGATTTTTAGAGAAAGAATAAAATTTTATAGTTTGAGATGCTATACACACACAAACATGGACAAACACATACACACATATACGTACACGGTTACCTGTAACATACTGCATTTTAGGTATCATTTAACAAAAAACCTTTATTTTTATTATATTCTTACCAGTTTCAGGGGGCAAATGGTGGCAGGATGCTGGGCAGAAGACCTGAGATGCATAATCCTCAAATGTTGAAGGATCTAAGTGGTGCTGAATAATTGTTTGGAGATACCGAGCTCTTTCTTCATAGCTTGTTGAATTCAAATGTTAAGGAAAATTTACATTTTAAAGCAAAGAAAATACAGCCTTAATCAGTGATATTGTTGTTTTCTTTTAATGAATTGATTTATATACAAAGTATTTTACAATTGAACTGTAAATGCTTATTTCTCAATCTCCAGAAGCTAAAGAATCAAATCAAAGAAAAGATTTGTATACATAGTACTCCACTGACATACTATGCTTAATTTATGGCTTTCCAACTAAAATTGACAGTCTCTCAACATCTATTGATCAAGTCATTCACTTAAATCCTGAATGTGTTAGTTCAAGCTCTATTTTTGAATAAGGATTATATTAAAAATTAGGCCTGAGTTTTTCATGACTTCTTTCTAAATGATCACACATTTTTATAACCACTCTCCTGATGCTACTCCAAAGCTTTTGGAAGAGCAAAGCCATATCATTTGAGTAAGTGTGATCACAGTCCTAGAATATGATAATAAAAGTGATAAGAACAAAAGTCCTATGGCTTTGGTAGGATATGGGATTTATTTATTAGATTTCTAATCCCTGCTTTATTACTTTTAAGTAACTCAGGGCAGCGAACATACACAATACTTCTTCCTCCTATTTGTCCCACAACAACCCTTTGAGTTTGGGCTGGGAGAGAGTGGCCCAAAATCATCCAGCTGGCTTTCACACCTAAGGTGGGACTAGAACTCATACTCTCCTTGTTTCTAGGCCAGGACCTTAACTACTGTACCAATCTGGCTCCTAATTCCTTTCATCTACATAAAACAAATGTTTTAGAAAGTTCAGAAAGATGGATTATATTTCACATTGAGTAATCCAAATCAGAAGCCACCAATTTTGAAAATATGATATTTTATTTTAAGTAACTCTATAACTTTCGGACAGTGATCCCACACTGATGACCTGAGGCAGACTACGATCAGTTGAGATGACCAAACCCAATCTATAAAAAATACAGCTATATATGTATTTCTGCATTACACAGCAGTTTTCAGATAAAATATAGCATATAAAAATATAACCAAACCTCTTTCAAACTACCTTGGGTGCCTGCCATGTTAGCTTATAAAAAAGTTTTATTTTAAAGTCACCATACTCTCAAAATAGGATTTGACATTGAAATTCTGTACATATTTGCTCATACATTAGTAGCAGATGAGAGGATTTCAGTTTAAATACAAGGTAACAAAACAAACAAACAAAAACCTTAATCCAGAATTAAAACATGTAATGAATTTCATTTGTAAATGCTTGCGTACAGTGCTTGTACTTTCCTTGAGTACAGGTTCTCCACAGGGCTGTGTCCTGAGTCTGCTACTGTTCACCTTGATGACCCACGACTGCTGTGCCAAATCTGCTACAAATCATATTGTGAAGTATGCAGACGACACGGCAGTGGTGGGTCTTATCCGGGATTTTCAAGAAGATGCTTATAGGGAAGAGGTGAAGCCTCTGGTGGACTGGTGCAATAAAAGTAACCTGGTTCTAAATGTTGATAAAACAAAGGAGATCATTGTAGATTTCAGAAAAAGCTGGCATAGTCATACTCCACTCAGTATCAAGGATGCAGCTGTAGAGGTGGTCAACAGTATTATCAACAGTATTAAGTGCAGATAACTAATCTGAATTGGTCTCTCCACATGTCATCCTCAGTGAAGCGTGCAAACCAGCATCTGCATTGCTTGCGTTGGATGAGGAGAACACATCTTTCTCCTTCTGTCCTGGCCACTTTTTTTCAGAGGCACGATTGAAAGCACTTTAACAAACTGCATCACTGTCTGGTTTGGTGGCAGCAGTGCCTCAGATAGAAAGTCCATGCAGAGAATGGTAAGGACAGCCGAGAAGATCATAGGAAGCTTGCTCCCTGGTATCCAGGAGGTTGCTTATATGCACTATGTGCTTAGAGCTCAAAGCATTGTTAGAGACTCCACACACCCACTTCACGGTCTGTTTCTGTTGCTCCCCTCTGGCAGGAGGTTTCAAAGTATTTCTAGCAGGACTACCTGATTCTGTAATAGCTTTGTTCCCTATGCCATCCATCTGGTAAACTCACAAGATTTGTTTTTCTCACCATGCACATGTATACATAACTCGAACTAGACTGTTGTTTCTCTGTGTCATATAATATATGTGGGTATATGCATAATTCTGTATTTATTTATTTATTTATTTTTGTCATATTTATGTAGTGTATATCAGAAGTGGTGATCCTTTGAGAGCTGTATGCAACGAAATTTCATTTTAATGTATGCTGATTAGCGTACATTCAAAGTGACAATAAAGTTATTATTCTATTCTAAATCAAAATATTTTGCATAAGGAAATAAATGAGACAAGGCAAAAACAAAAAAACAAAAAACCCCAATAGCATCCCTGAGCACTGATTAAGAAAGTAAGCATCCCAAGGATGTCAAAAGAAAAGCACTGTCGTTCTTTGTCCTACAGCCTCCTCTTTCTGATATTATTGATAAGAGGCTGGTACCTTGAAGCACTGCTTTTGAAGAACCCTCTCCAGGCTGCTTGTTCCAGAGGCCCTGATTTTATTGTTAGCAGAGAGAAAGCGAGAAAAAGGGAGAATATTTCTAGTGTTCATGAAAGCAGCTATGGAAATGGCTGTCAAAATGTAAAACAGCAGGCAGCAACATACAATTATCAAGAAAAAAATATCATGCTGCTTTGGTGTTATAGGCTGCTTTAGTGAACTTAGAATCAGTTCGCATGCAACTTGCAAAAGTTGTCTTGCTATATTCATTGGATCAGGAAATCTTTGCCAGTCTGTATTTTATTTTATTTTATATGCAAAGTGATGCTTAACATCATTCAAATTTATTCTTCTAATAGAATAAAACTATTTGCAGCCCTGTTTTAAAATGTGCAAGTGAAACAAGTGAAAATCAGCCTAGTGGAATTTTCACGGGAAAATAAATTTGACTTGCTGGAAATGATTATATGCTAATACATGCACTGAAGGATATTGGAATCCAATTCCTGTTCTTTTTGAGATCTTTTGGTAGAACACAGAACCACTTTTCTTAAATCTACTTAAGTCAAGAAACAGAAACTATATTGCAATGACTCACACATGTTATATTCAAAGTACTTTCTATAGTCACACTTCAAAAGGCCCATCCACCCACCCA